CAAAAATGGAACCAAGATAGGCTGCCAAGGCATGCAAAAATGGGACCAGAAAGGGAGTATAAAGGTAAGTATAACATGGAGGTCCCAAACAGTGTTGAGCCCTTCTTCAATGTTGAAGAGGGGCTCAAAATAAGCCTACTCACAGTTTACATCATACTCCAAAACAGATCACACACGAGCTAAAAATATCATGCAAGAAAACGGTATTTAAGAAGGGTATTGAAGCAAGTGCAATATGGGGGGCTCAAACAGGGTTGAGCCCTTAAGAAAAAGTGAAAATGAGCTCAAAATAAGGCCACTTTCAATTATGGCCGGAGCTCAAAGAAAAAAGCATAGATGGCTTACAAAAGATACAAGAAATGGGCCAAAAAGGGAAAATTGCAACTCACCCTTGAAGACCAATTCTTTTGTTGCTTCTTGGACCAAATTTGTTGCCTCTTAGCTGCTGGAATTCCTCCCCTTACTGCTGGATTGGAGTGGTGGTGGTAGAGCTTGGTGGTGATGAAGAAAACAAGGTGTAGGACTTAAGGATTTTTAGGAAAATGAGGAAGATGGAGGGAGATATGTGTATTGAGGCTTGAAGACAATTTTTTCCAACCCCAAAATATGATATTGCCTGCTGGTTATATGGACCAAAAAGGGGGTGTAAAGGTGGGGGAAAAGGAGGCCAACTTTCCCCCACAAAATATCCCCCGGATATTGATATTTTCTGGGGAACAGGCTATACAGTGTAGAAAGTGGACATTGAGAGGAATATGGCGGCCCTTTTTGGAGCTCCAGGTGGCCGGCCGGCTAGGTCAAAAGGTCAAGTTGAAAGATAGTGTGGCCGGCCACCAACTTTTAGGGTCCTCCCATGTGTGTACATCACAAATATGTGGTTCAAAGTTCAAGAAAGTGGCCCCAAGGTATTCAACATTAGCCCAGAAGTGTGAAAAACGGGCGTCGGAGGGCGTCGGAGGATATATAACTGGTTGCTGTAACAATTAATGGCCTCCCACCCTTCATTGACCTTTCCGGTGATAAAACAAAGGTACCTGCCAAAAATGAACGAAAACCGTCGCAAAACGAATGTTCGGGGGCCAAAACGCGCAGTTCGGGGTCCCGAAAATGGGCTGTTAAGCACCGAAAGTGGCATTCGGCCACGAAGTGGGTTTCTCAGACCCCAGTGTCCCTCAAAAGGGAGTAAATAGGAGGTATGCCAAAAACCGAGGCAAACGGAGATGGTTAGGCAGTCCCGAACAGAGGCACACGGCCAACGATTCCGAAAAACCGAAAATCGGACTCTGAAATGGGAAAAATGGCCTACGGCCACGAAGTGTAGCCTACGGACATTGAGAGATGGTCTACGGGACCTCTCCCTCCCCTCAGGAAAAGAAACAGCAAAAACCGAGCCTGGTTCGCAAACCGAGGTAAAGCACAAAAGAGGGTTCGGAAGTCCGGAGGCAGGGCTCACGGCCGCGACTCTGAAACTTCTGAACGAGCACATCATGTAACATCACCAAGCGCTCAATCGGTGACGTTTGAGTCTTAAGGTCGGTCAAAAATGGGGTGTCTACAGTTGCCCCTCTTTGACAGAACTCGGAAGTCACAAGTGACAGGAGTGAATGTCAAAGCCCAGAGACGACCCATTTTTGGCAAGGCCGAAGACTTAGACAAACGCACAAAGTAAACAGAGATGTGCCCGCAGGCAGGGGGGGGGCAAAATGCAAAGCAATGCAAGGAGATTTTGAAGATTGGACTTATACGCTACGCGAAGCCGGACATCACTCATGATCATGCGAATGTAGCAAGCTGTAATGAAGCAAGTATTCGCAAATAGATGCAACAGTTTTAAGCAAGAATGCAAAGTAACAACTATATTTTATGCAGTTAAGAATGCGGAGAATTATTCAATCCTCGCCACGTCTCACCCGAAGAAGATACGATACCTGAGCGATTCGTCTGGTCGCACCAGCCTCAAATGAATCGTACATACAATATCGTGCCTGCAAAAGAGAGAAATTCAACAAGTACAACATGCTTCCAACATATATTCAATGCGATTTCGAAAGTTTGACACACGCAGTGCCGGTGAGTGAATGCATCGCAATGCAAGAGTGGATAATGCGTGACAACGCATGCTCAAGCATAGAGGTATGGCAATATCAAGAAATGTACATAATAATGCAAGTATGCTCATGAGAATGCAAGTTATGTGCATGACAGTGCAAAACGAGCATAAATCAGGGTGCCCGTTTGTCATGAAATAACGAGCAAGGAAACGCGTGTTTCGGCGAAGGCGACTTCGATGATGGCCTTTGATTCGGTTTCCTGGAAAGATCACAACATATTCAAAAGGATACATCTTGATTTTGATGAATGATGATGAGACACATGTTAGAATTTGAAGTTCAAGTTCCGGCGGAGCAATTTCGCGACAGAAAGTGCACTTTTCTTGAACTTTTTCAGGTCCCGGGAACTCCAATCTTCCTCAAAATTTGCAGAGAGCTTGGTGGGCATGTGGGGGACACCACCGGCCGTTTATCTTCCCAAGGGGAGGCCACCGGCCACTTTTGCAAAAAGGAATTGGCTGGCCGGCTAGAAAAGGTGGCCGGCCGGCCATTTGCCCAAATCCGGGGCATTTTGGTCTTTTCCACCTCCTTTCTTCATGCTCCTTCATCCCAAGACCGTGAGCCTATAAATGCAGCTGAGAAATGCTCTCTTGTTGCCTCCTACACCATTTTCTTCTTCAGATCTGAGTTCCATACGCGTTTTCCAACACCCCTCGCAAGTTGTTTTCGCGAAAATAGTCAGTTTCAAGCACTTTGAACTGATTAAATTTTGGTTTCAGAGCTTCTTTTCTCATTTTCACCACTTGAGGTGAGTTTGTCTCAACATTTGGAAGATTTTCTCGGGGGTTGACTTTTGTTGACTTTTTCATTTCCCGAGAGTTGACTTTTGTTGACTTTTTCCAATCTTGGCTCATTTTCGCTCATTTTTGCTCCTTTTGCAGATTTTCTGAAAATGGCGGGTAATTCTCCCCACGGCGGAGGTCCTCCAGGTGTCGGAGACGATTTTGATCCCATGACTCTACCCCCGAGGGTCCGGCCTTTTATTCCCGGGAGGTACGCTCCGCCAGCAAATGTCCTTCCTCGGGCCGTTTTTCGTCACTTCACCGGTTTTGATGAGCGAGCACCTGGAGATCTGCTTCTCCGAGAGCCAGAGCATCACCTCTCTCATGAGGCCCGAGAGGTATTTACTTCATTTTCTGCATTTTTCGTACATTTCGCACCTTTGCCATGCTTGAACACGCAGTTTAGCTTATGACATAGTACTTTGCTTGCATCCTGAACATGTAGTTTAAACACTCGAATTTCTGAACACTCGGCTCATTAATTAATTGCGAACGCACAGTACACATTAGTTAAGAGGTGAACACACGGCTCAAACACTGATTCGTCGAACGCACAGCCCGAATTGATGGTGAACACACAGCACACACTGACTAAGAGTAGAACACGCAGCCCAAACTCTGATTTTCTGAACACGCAGCCCAGATAGATAGTGAACACGCAGCCCACAATAGTTGAGATTTGAACACGCAGCCCAAACTTAAATTTTCTGAACACGCAGCCCAGATAGATAGTGAACACGCAGCCCACAATAGTTGAGATTTGAACACGCAGCCCAAACTTAAATTTTCTGAACACGCAGCCCAGATAGATAGTGAACACGCAGCCCACAATAGTTGAGATTTGAACACGCAGCCCAAACTTAAATTTTCTGAACACGCAGCCCAGATAGATAGTGAACACGCAGCCCACACTGATTGGAAAGTTGAACCGCAGCCCAAAACTTGATTTCCTAGAACAGCAGCCAGATTGAATGTGAACCGCGCCCACATGTTGAAAGTTGAACACGCAGCCCAGACTTGTTGGATTCTCCTGAACACATCAAGCCAGATTAGGAATAGTGACACGCGCCCACACTGCATTGAAAGTTGAACACGCAGCCCAAATTTTTACGTACTTATTTACCTTTGCACACGTCTTTATTCATTTCATTGGCAACACAGGCTCATCATTTTCATTGGACACAGCTCATTATTTTATAGCTGGACACAGCTTCATTCGTTTCATTGGCACACAGGCTCATTCATTTTATAATTGACAGCTCAATTCTCATTGGGCAGTCATTCATATTTAGCGGAAATGTTCCAGTGCTGAATGGTGTTCACGCAGCGTTTACGGGTCGGTATTGCTCATCGCGCGTGGGATATTGTACGTCGCATGCTTTCGGAGGCCGTCCGGAGATTTAGTGGACCTTGGGCAGATTCGGCCTCTGCACTGGGTTATCTACGTGCTCCCTGCCAGAGAGGGCACTGATGCAGCCCTTTGGTAAGAGAGATGGTGGGACACCACAACCCTTTCATTTCTCTGCCACTGGAGACATGACCATTAGACGCCTCTGGATTTGCTTGCTGACCGCCGGATACAGGAGGTTGGTCCATCCCTTATGATGAGGACATGGGCGAGATGGGAGGCCGCTTGGATGTATCTATTGGGGGCTCGCCCGCCTGTTGACAGGGTTCTGGAGAGTCCGATACACTTGGTTCTCTTCCCACTTTCGGCGGGCGCGAGATGGTGCCCGAGACTCCTGGAGGGACGGAGCTAACGCCCGTGGTTTCCTTATGTTCCTCTTCGGGACTACCGTTCGCCGATAGAGGGAACACAGTCGGGTTATATCTGCTGAGCGCTCTGGTTGACCTATCACAGGTCAGTAGATATGACTGGGGTGGCGCCGGCCTGGCTACCCTTTATTGCTATATATGAGCGCGAACATCCCGCGGCAGGGGAGATTTACTTGCGGGCTACTGAGAGAGCCTGGGAGTATTTCTGTCCCTTTTGATTTACATTTCTGCTCCTCATTACTTGTCCATTGCACACACGGCGCGCTTTGCAGCCTGGTATTTTTGCCCTCAGCATTTTTGTATTTATATTCTGCACCTAGTTTCCTCAGTTATGGGTATACGTATACTTCCCGACATTAGGCCCAGAGTTGGAGGTGCAGCCCCTCCCATGACCCATATTCATGGTATTCGAGGGCCCGCACCGGCGAGACGCCGAGAGTCCTTACTTGCGACAGTATTTTGACACTGTGCGACGTCGAGAGTACTTCAGAACTTTCAGTTCCTTTCATTTTCATTTTGATTTGCTCTGTATATTCCCGATTATGATTGGTTTATGCATTATCATCCGCAGATCACATGCAGCCTGGGCGCCCTGGTGATGGTCTCCGATTTCGTATACCGGAGGATCGGGCACCTCCCAGTAAGGGTCCTGCTCAAGGGCCGTTGGCAGGGCATGGTTTCTGGGAACGCTTTCTGCTGGTATGGGGGTATCTTTCTCAGGATCCTCCGCAGTACCCCCAGTCAGTATGCGGACTGCTGACATGCTCTCTCTTTCTCGGAGGTAGTCGGCGCTATGCTGGGTAGCGAATGCTTACTATATCTACGAGGGAGGTGATTACGGCACTTACCGTCATACATATTTGATGCCTCCATTGACGGGAGCTCGTACCCCGATGACGAGGCCTGCTGGTGTGTCATCCTCGGGTCAGGCCCGGGCTCGGGCTGCAGACGTTCCTTCCACCAGCGGGGCTGGTACATCTAGAGGTGGGGGTAGACCGGTTCCTCCGATTTCGCCGACTTATCCTCATCCTGGATGGCCAGATATGCCAACTGAGTTGATGGCGTGGCATTATGGGGCTATTTCTCCGACTCCGATCCCGCTAGAGCCTCCGATGCCCAGTGATCGATACGCCATTGATCCTGACTCACCGCTGGTATGCTCCACTATTTTTTCATTCGTCATTCAGACGTTTAGACATTCTTTCATTCACTGATGATTATGAGCTCATATTTGCAGCCACCGCGAGGGTACATGGAGGAGGTGGTTGGACTGGTGGCCACACTCAAGGGCATGGTCCTGCGGAGGGAGGCACAGTTGTCTATCGCGGGCATTCAGGTACCCTTCAGTTTTCTGGCGTTTATCATACTTCTGATGACATGCTGATTTCTACTGCATCGATAGACTACTTATGTAGAGCATATCTGACACACACCCCACTTGTACACTGTATTTACATGCACCCACTTCACGTAGTCTTTACTTGTATCTGCATCTGATGTATATATTTGGACTGATATATTTGAATTGAACTCTTTATTCTCAGATGCCTTCATGGTCTGGTCAGCCGCAGGTCAGGCCACCTGGGCCTCCTTGGGGAGCTGGGCCATCTGGGCCATTTCACGGAGTTGGGTCGTCCGGGCCTTTTCAGGGGGCTGGGCCATCCCGGCCTTTCCGAGGAGCTGGGCCATCTAGGCCTTTTCGAGGAGCACGAGGAGGGTCCTCCCGTAGGCACAGGACACATGTTGTAGAGGCAGAGCCTGATGAGGAGGAGGAGGAGGAGGAGGAGGAGGCCACAAATCGTCAGTCAGAGACATCTGCTGAGGAGGGGGGCTCCGGTCTTGGTTTAGGGAGTGAGGACGAGGCTGAGGGGGATCCTGAGGATGACAGCTCTGGCCCAGACGATGATGATGGTGCAGAGGCTGTCCCGCAGAAGAGGATGAGGAGTGCTTCTCATTCCCGCTCCCGAGGGCAATGATGCTGCCGTTTCCTGCTTTATTTTTCTTTTTGCTAGTAGTTTGTAGCACTTTGCACATTGTTTAGGCAGTTTTATTTTTTGTAAAACTTGTACCTTTGTTCGTTGTAAAACATGATGGAATGAAACAGCTTTTTGAAAAGATGTTTATGTTTTAAACTTTTAGCATCGTATCGCATCATTTTATTTTGCACAAAAATGAAATTGAATGGGAATGTGCATTGTGTAATCACCAGGTCAGGTAGTGAACCGACGCAACAAACTAAGCAACTCAACTTACTAAGATATAACAGAACCTTTAGCAAGTTTACAACTCAATAAACAAAATGCAATAACGTTGACAACGCAAATAAACAAGACTTAAACAAAGATTGCTTAAACAGAGCGCAATGACTAAAAAAAATGTAAAACACGTCCGCTCGACAAACAACTCGATAAGCAAAACAACAACTTGATAATCAAAACAACAACTCGATAATCAAAACAACAACAGCAGAGTGTACTTCGGACGATCTGGGCACCGGAACGCATCCGAAACAGAGGGAAATGGAGGCCTTTGACTCTCCCGTTGCATGGAAATGCTTGAAACTTTCCCTCGAAGGGTAAAACAGGGCCAAGGAGATACACTGAAGCATTGCCGGCCACCCCTGGGAGCCGGCCGGCCAATTTTATGGAGAGTGGGAGCCGGCTGGCCAGTTTTTGAAAAAGAGAATGGCCGGCCGGCCAGAAAAGGTGGCCGGCCGGCCACTTGTTCCTGCAGCCACCTAGTTTTTGACACGTGTCCCCGTGAATAGTGTTTTTCCCTCTATAAAAGCCTCAACTTCGGGAACATTCATTTCATCTTAGTTTTGCACAAAAATGGAGGCATTTCTTGCAGAAAATCTCACATCTTGGATCTCTTCTCTAGATGGCTCGGAAAAGCTGAACTTCCGGGGTTTTGGCTTGAATGCACTATTCACGCTGAGCCGTACTCCGCTACAGCTCCCTTTTCTCCATGCCGCGGCAAGGTTCTGGAACCCACTGACGCACGTTTTTAGCTTCGGCGGCCAAGAGGTATGTCCCACTTTCGAAGATTTTCAGGTTTTGATGGAGTCTGAATGCTCTGAAGTGATCTTGCCCCAGCTCCGCTTTGGCCACGCCCAGGCCTTAGGGCAGATGTGTGGGCTCACGGCGCATGATGCTCGATCTCTGATCTGCAGTGGGGAACTGGACATCCTCGGCTTGATCCATCGTTTTTCCGACGCCGGTGACCGCAGCAACCATTATTGGCAAGGTTTCTGGCAACACGCCCTTTGCTTGTGTTTGTTATCTCACTTTCTGCTTTCCTCGGGCTTTGGCGGAGCTAGCATCCGTCTGATTGAAGTTGCCCAAGGCTTGAGAGAAGGAAAGAGTTGTGTCGCCATGACCTTGGCTGAGACATTGATGGGCTTAGATTCTGTCTATCGCCGGGAAACGACTAGGTTCGCTGGGAGTCCACTGCTACTGCAGGTAATGTTTCCCACCCATCCTTACATATATATTTGCTCACGTCACTCGGCTCTCAGGCTCGATTTTTTTCTCACAAAACCCTTGTCTTACTTTTCTCTCATCGTTCGTCTCTCTATTCTTTAATCTCTCATTTTCCATCCCTCCCCTAGGTATGGTTAATGGACAAGTTGCAGGTTGTGGACTTTTACCCAGCCTACTCGGCTCGAGGCTACTTCTTTCGGCAGCGCCTAGTCAATGCTCTTGACGAAAGGTGGTGGTTTGATTGGATGTGCAATTTGTCCGCAGACCACATTGCTTGGCATTGTCCTTGGCTCAACCTCTCGGCAATGAGCTATAGTATGTCCCGGCTGATTGGGATACAGTTGATTGGTCTAACCCATTGCGTATTCTATTTTCCGTTCCGGTTCCTGCGTCAGTTTGGTCATGATCAGACCTGCCCACCGGAGGGGATTGAGTACCCAGCCGCTTTCCCGGTTCGGGGTGCACAGCTTGCACGATATGCCACGGCGTGGAGGACTAGAGAGCTCCTGGCCCCTGCTCCTATTTTCAGTTGCACTTTATCTGATGAGTGCTTGGATTGGCTCAATGAGGAGGCACAGGTTGGGCCTAGCTTGGCATCAGATGCTTCGACCTGCTCTGGGAGGGGGCGCGGAGATACTTGACTCAACTATGCCCCAAATTTATTGCTTATTTAGCATTTTCAAGTTTTCTTTATGAATGTAATAGAAAAGCAACCTCAATTGTATGCAAGAGCAGGAGAACTCTATTTTGAAATCAATGAAATTGAAAGTTGTGGTACTGAAAATTTTCCGCTTTTGGTCCAAAAATGGTCTTAGTCGTAAAAAGATTAATTTGAACAAAGTCGACTTTTATTAAAACTTTTCAAAACTATTTTCGATGTGGGTCAGAACTGGACATGCCGAAGATCTGTCACTGAGATGCACAACCCCAGATCCCCGCAACTGGAAAGTTGCCCCTAGTCTGAAGAACAACGCGGCACTTCACGGCAACGGGAAGTTGCCCCTAGTCTGAGTAACTTTGCACCGTCACGGCAACGGAAAGTTGCCCCTAGTCTGAACAGCACTGTACCGGAGATCGCGATAAATACTGATGGATAAAGATGACTGAGATGATCAGAATGGACAGAGTTGATCGGGGAAAATCTTATGGCTGAACTTCAATGTGAAGCTGCCTACGTATCCCAAAGATGGGAATCAAGCCTTACGTAGTTCAGGCCAAGGTTCACTCGAGTATTTTCACTCTCCTTTTGCGCTCTAACTTTTGCCAAGGCCGCCCTTTGCGGGTTTTCAACCTTGCGAGCTCAGTTTTTATATTTCCAATTTTTTTGTGCTCTAACTTTTGCCTAGGTCGCCCTTTCGGGTTTTCGCATAAAGCGTCGAGATAAGGATAATATTTCTTCAACTTGTCCATATTGATCGGTTGTGAGAACTCCAAGCCATCTAGATCCATCAGAACCACAGCTCCACCTGACCAGATAGCTTTGATGATGTAAGGACCAGTCCAATTGGGTTGGAACTTGCCCCTTGGGTCGTGGATGGGAGCTCGGTTGTCTTTGAGCACCAAATCTCCTTCTTTCAGATTCCTGGACTTAACCTTCTTGTTGAAAGCCCGGGCAATTCTGCGCTGATAGCCTTGGATGTGGTACAGTGCTTTCAGTCTTCTTTCATCAAAAAGCATGAGTTCTCTGTATCCGATGTACATATTTGGACTGATGTATTTGATTTGAACTCCTT